CGTTTTTTAAATGATATTTCCATTTTTTCAGTTTATTTCCCGTCAAAATAAACGAACTTAAAACTAAAAAGAAAACAAACAAACACACACACACACACACACACACACACATATATATATATATATATATATAAGAAGGGCCTGAGGAAGTATTCTGCATATCCTTACACATGTTGCATTCTGCCATTCAACATACTTCACACATTGTCTTCTAACTCTATGCATAGCTTTCTCTCAATTTCTATATATCTCTCTACAGAGACATATCTATATTTTTACGGAAGTCCTTGAGTTCGAAACATCTGTTAGATATGACAAGGAAGTATAAAGTTATCTCTTCGACAAAAAACGGAACTTGTAATAAATTCTAGCGTTTCGTCATTTGCAAGATTTTGGAAAAATGGCTCCAGCCGAGAATTTTTCCGCATTCCCACGCAGAGCCAAATATATTTATTCATCATTACACTTTAAAAAAAGACGTAAAATCGACACTTTAATTCGTTTAACTGTGAAATATTTTCACTTTTATATATATATATATATATATATATATATATATATATATATATATATATATATATATACACCAAAGGCTATTTTCTTACGTTTCTTATCCAATGAAGTCAATGTGTTTACTGGCAAAACCCTTGATATACTCACATTACAGATATCTTTTAAACAACTTGATGATCGATTCATGACTTTGCCAAGGGTTATTCAAGGCAGATATTACCATGTAATAAGATCCTTAGTGATTGTCCCTAGGCCTCGAGTAAAGTTCTGATTTGCGTTTAGCTTTCTTACCCCAAACAGAAAACCCACAAGCTTAGACGTTAATGATACTTACACAACCAACATGATTAACCCTCTCCTTATTTAGGGACGTGACACGCTCTCAATAATTATTCCCCTGTGTTGGCCTGAGGGTAAAACATTCTACGGATAGGCTTGTGTAGATCAGGCCAGGTGCCAAATCTTAACATCATTTTACAAAGCTAGCGGCCAATTGTTCTACTTGTATATTGGGGAGTTTTTAAAGCTATTCGTTTATTAAGCGTGAAACACGCGTTCAACGACTGACTTTTTTTTCTATTTTGTGTGTATGTTGAATTATCTGTTAAGTTTGTTAATATAGACATCACAAGCAAGTAAACAGTCGAATCGCATGGACTTAAATCTCAGCTGCATCGTTGCCGCAAATATTAACATGTTGCGCTAGTCGAATTTTCACATGTGGGATCAAGTGACAGCATATCCAACAATCATTTTAGGACACTCCTCATTATTCTTATTTCGTTTATGTTTAATTTTATTTGAATTTTCAAACGTATGTATGCGGCCATGAATCAATTTGCATGCTATATAAGGTCTAGGTGGCCTAAAGCTTTACAAATCTAGAATGAAGGTTGAAAGCTTACATATTTTAAATGTAGATAAAAGTCATTAAATAGTGTAGATTTGATAAAGAACACTCACAGGTCCTTATTAAATACATATAAATATATATATATATATATATATATATATATATATATATATATATTTGGTTGGATAGATGTGAGTTTGTGACCCTGGGTTTCACGCTTTAGCGATCGTCAGACAAATATATATATATATTTATTTATATTTATATACACTTTTCACACACACACACACACACACACACACATATATATATATATATATATATATATATATATATATATCCCTGATCTGGCATCTCGTCTGCAGTTGCTCTCTCACAGACGCACCGTCGCCTCTCTCTGTCTTTTTTTTGCAAATGCTTTCATGGTAATTGCTCCGATGAGCTGCTTTCGTTGGTTCCCAGACTTCATGAATTCAAGCGCCCTACGAGGCTGGCAACCCGCTCTCACCCTTTCACTGTAGAAATTACTAAATGTAGCCGTCTCTTCTACTCCAATAGCTTCATGTCTCGCACCTCTCGCCTGTGGAACACCCTTCCCTATTCCTGTTTCCCTGAGAGCTATAATCTCCAACTATTCAAATGTAATGTCAATCGACATCTGCAGTTACCTTGATCTATCCACTATCCCTCTCCTCATCCTGTCCTCTATCACTCCTATCTGCTCTCGTTCCAAATCTTCTGCAACCCCTTGCATCCTAGTGGCTTCACGCCTTGCTCGGGGCGTAATGCTTTGAATATATATATATATATATATATATATATATATATATATATATATATATATATGATAGCACTACATATCGGTGCACCTCCAAATATCTTCATGACCAGTGTGTGGCTGCTGATCTCTCCTCTGATTTAACTCTCACAGCTCAGTTGGGAAAAGAGTTGCTGGTATCATTCAATCAGACACAAACTAAACTAGTAGCATTTATTCACAACCGAGAGGGCCTTAGATCTTCAGCAATACTCATAAGGGTTTCATACCCTGAAAGAATCTCCTTGCCTCGAGCGTCCTGTTGGGCTAGTTCACTGCTGATCTCACGTCTCTTCGTGACATCGCTAAAGGTGCTCGAAGAATTGTTGCTTCATTGTATTGCAGACAGAAAATACCCGTTGCCCTATCATTATAAGAGTCAGATCAGTCCAAGAATGGAGCATTGCTCCCAAATCTGGGCTGCCGCTGCCAAGTCCTCACTTCACTGTCCACCCTCGCTAGAACTCGGAAATTTGTGTTCACGGTGACAAATTCTCACCATTCTCTTCGTGTTCATTTTATAAGAAGTAAATTTCACTCAAACAGCTTCTTCTCCATAATTATTACTTTGTAGGAAAAAACTCCCGAGAGAATGCTTTCCTGACAACTACAATCTTGGTCTTTTCAAATCCAGGGTGAACCGATATCTATCCTACTCGTCTTGATAATAGTCTTTTACTTGTCCCTTCACTCTCTCTTACAATTTTTCCTTGAGTGACTCTTGGGCCTTGTGTTGCGTGAACTGTCATGAAAAAAAAATGAAAAGATAAAAGAAAAAGACATAAGCGCGAGAATGCACACACAGAGACACGCACATAGACACAAGCAAACACAAACACGGTGCTAAATGTGTATAAGAAGAAAAAATGAATAAATATAAGCAGTAAAGAACTAATACCTCCTGAAGAGTGGACGAACCCGTCCGTCCACAAAACTCTGGAATTGGGATGCTGAACGTAACTCAATCAGCTAAGTTATAAATTTTATTCACAATAATCTTGAGACGCCCGAAGATCGCAGTAGCGTGAAACTTAAATAGCGCTCCGAACTATTTCCGAGGCATAACGCTGGGAAAATTAATTGCTCTATCTTTGTTAGTATGTGTCCAAATATTATATATATATATATATATATATATATATATATAAACATTTGGAAATTATCTTCCACTGTAGGAATAAAGGATTCGAATTCCCCCAACGGTCTTTTGACGGAGCAGAAGTATCCGAATTATTAGTTATCTATATACTAAGTAATATGAACAAGTTAGTCTGTATGGATAACCACGGACGACGGTCTAATGTGTGTAACTACCAATACAATAGCTAACGATGTCATTAGAAAAAAGCTCTTCGGAGTATTCCAAAATTTGGGCTTTAAAATCACTGTCTAAATAGATATGAAAATAGTCAAATTTTTCGATGTAGGACTTAACATCGATGCCGGCACTGTTTCGCAGTACTTAAAACCGAATACCAACATCATATATGTAAACACCAAATCAAACCAGGAAATGTTATCAAGCAAATACCTAAAGGGATAGAAATGAAAATCACCCGTAATTCATCTATTGAGGAGATTTTCAACCTTTAAAAAAAAGGTGTACAGTGTAACCCGGATATAAGAGAAACCCGGATATAAGAGAGATTTTCTCTGGTCCCAAATTAGAGCCCATACTTACCTAAACAAAATAGACCAAACCCGGATATAAAAGAAAGCCGGATATAAGAGACTTCTTCTCCGGTCTCGACAACTCTCTTATATCCGGGTTACATTGATAAGAAAAGCATTGAGAAGGGAAGGTCATAACATTGGTTTGTCTTTTTCGTCACCCGTTCGTCCTAAGTGTGCGACCAGAAGAGGGGCGTGATTTGGTTTATTCCTTCCCATTTAACGAGCAATTGAAAACCAAAATCGGAAAAGTATTCTTTAAGCTTTTAGATAGGCATTTCCCTGGAAATTCTGTCCTAGCTAAGGTGTTTAACAGAATCAAAGTAAAGCTTAGCTACAGTTGCACGAGTAACTTATTATATTTATATACTACCCGAGGTACCCCGTTTTGCCCGGATGTACAGGGCTGCAATTTTATAACCGCACCTTCCTGTATACGCGCACTCCCTGTCAAGAAATGGCTGCCTGTCTCCCTGCTAGCATGCATCATCCGTTAGCATAAAAAGCTACACTCTCCACCCTCATCTTTCTACGGTAAGGCCTTCGCAAGTGTTTGATTGTTTCATTGGTAAAAACTTGTGTGGTCGTTGCTCGAGGTTAAATTGTTTCATTGTTTTAGATATTCAGTAAATTTCCTATGGCCCGATTATCTTCCAAATAGCATGGAATTGTTCACAAATCTAATAATCAGACTAAAACAGGGATGAAGCGTCAGAGCTTGATTCAAATGCAAGTACAAAAGCATAAACGCCCCCTCCTTTTTTGCACGTTTACTGTAAAGCTGAGGTCAGCAAATTTTTTTATGGATTTTTTCCCTTTAAAGGCTTCAATAATACTTCTCAAACAATTTTTATATCAAAGGTTGTTTGAATGCCAATTTATGATAGAATCATATGATGAAAATATGGTAAAAGTCATGATTGTCAGAAAATTTCTGCGACCATATCACGCCTTACATCTGGTCATCTACCCCACCCCAGGCAGCAAAACTCTTGATAATTATGTGTGGGACGCAGTTGAGCGAGAGACTAACAAACCTTTTTGTAACACCAAAGATAAACTGAAGGCAAGGTTTACGACAGCATTCACCAACATTTTTTTTATATTTCTCATGTGTGTGAATATGAACTGAAGAGACTCGGTTCGATGTTTCCATTTTTACCTGCATATAACGTTCATCTATATTGCTATTATACAAGAGAACAACTCGATCACCTTTTTGCCTTCAGTATACAAAGAAAAAATTATTTTCTGTCTTTTAAGTGGCATACAGGTATAAACGAACACAATGCCCCAACAAATCCATTTCGTGAACGTCTGTACTACTTTCGAGGGAAAAATTTGACCATTGTTAAACACCGATGATATATCAAAGGTCTAGTAACCGGTTCACCAAAATGGTCTCCGATTGAAGGTGTGACACCCGAGATGCCTTAGCTCCTTCATCCTTCGAACTTAGAATTAAAACAACCTTCTTCCGGTATGATTCTCCCCGACTACCCCTGATCATGAACCGAGATTAACATTACTTAACACCCTGCGAGCCATGTCCAGTTGGTAAGGTTCAGGTAACAGACAAGCAAAACAATAGTACATAACGGTATGGTAATTAATTCACTAAGCCAAAAATGCACATGCTGTCATCTTCGAGTAGCATGCCTGGTGTAGCATCAAAACAACAACAACAACAATAATAATAATAATAATAATTATTATTATTATTATTATTATTATTATTATTGACTTAAATCTCATCACCTTCTTGTCATAAACATTAATCCGTTCCGCTAGTGGAATTCGACACCCCAATCGTCATAACTGATTCATCCTTCCAACTTAAAATTAAAACAACCCACTCGACAGTTATGTTATTTCAAGCACTGGAAACAAATTGTCAAAAATGTTGGAAGGCGTGGAATTCAGAGTTGAAAATAATCTAAACTACAGCACTGCTAAAAAGATAGTGAGGAAATAAAGGTCAAGGAGATTGTGGAAAATTATAATGGCCAATTCCTCATCACGGTCTAAAAAAAAAAAAAAAAACATATTTTTCTATATGTACTTTTTTTATATACTTAATTTTATAGTATTAGTAGCGTCGTTTCTTGGAGGATTAAAAGAATGGTACTCAATAGTAACTTACGATCCCGACGTAACGGCTTTTCTCAATCTGCTGAAGGTAGAAACGCCAATGAATTTCGCAGCGTTTTTTTTAATGATTCATTTTCTACGGGTTATCAACCTCTTCCATGTTATTTAAGGCCAGAAAATATTTTTAGATTTTCACATTTTTTTTTAGATAATAATGATTTAATTATACAAATTTTACTAATTAAGCAATAGCTGGTTGAGAAGAGGTCGATTCATATCTTTTCCAAGGCTATTTGCGCGTAAGTTAATATAACGAACACAAATCGGAACTCGTCTCTTTGATTAGCAATTCAGCGCCAACACATCCAAGTTTACACCATCTGGTATTCCCAAACGGTCATCTATCTAGGTACTGACTAGACTCTACATTGATTAACTTCGGTGATCGTATGGGAACCGATGTTTAAACATGATGTGGCCGTAAATATTGAATCTGGGAGCGAAGATCTTCACTATTCTATTGCTACCACCGAACTGACTCCCTTCGTGGTTGTTGTGTCTTAAAATATTAAAAGAACCAATCCATTATAGAATTCCATGCTTACGGGGTTCACGTAATACGGGCCGTCAAACTTCTGACAAAAACAGAAGAGTTTACCGTTTTGGAGTAGCTTTCTCTTTCAGTAACAGAATGTGTGGCACCCTAACTTGTATTACCACAGAATATAGAATCATCATGCTGAGTTCAAATTCGGACCGAGTCGCTTTCGGTGACTTTGAATGAACCTGATCATAAACCAAATAGCAGGTTAAACTGTCCTCTCTTGCCTTGAGTGGTGGCCAGTCTAGAAGAAGGAACACTATATTCATATTCTCGTAAATAATAGCACAGACTAGGCACTTTTAGAGTTGTCGTCGGCATCCTCTAGCATCGGGATCGCTATTCTCTTTCTCTATTCTATTTATCACCAACCACTGGTGGTGGTGGCGGAGATGGCTGTGAATCAAAGAGTTTGGCGAGGCCATTCGCAAGAATTTGACTTTGTTAGAGAACTTTGCGCGACGGAGAAGGCTAAACGTTTGGCCAGAAGCGCCTCTCTCGCGGTTCAAGGGGGATTGAAACCTGGCAAACCTAGTTGCATCCGGCTGTCGGGTGCTTGGCCTGTCATGGTCTGCTTTGGTTATGCCAGCCCGACTGGCGCTGTCGTGTTCCGCCGATTTGGCCGTTGAGATCGTGTAGATCTTTGCCTATTCCGCAATTAGGGTCCTCGGGAGTTAGTCAAGTTGGTCCTTTCTCCTTGACCTTACCGCTATAGATGGCCTGAGAGGAATTGGAAGTCCAGACGTCGCCGTTCTTGGGATCACTGTGATACTCAGTCCTTCTACCATGACAAAGAAGGATCATTTATATTTTTCACTAAATGATTATTACTTTAATGACAATGATAGAAACGAATTAATAAATAAATAAAACTATGAAATTATAATTAAATATATGAGAACATTTTTTTTTGATGTTTTCTTTTTGTTAAAAATAAATATTTCTGAAATAAATAATAGTAATCGGTTTCCAATTAAAATAAATCCTGAAGTTGTATGAGCTCCATCAAGCTATCTTGACCTAGTCACGCCCATTTTTGCTACAGCAGGGGTACATGTACGCCAAACCCGTATAGAAATATCTAAACTGTCAGCTGTATACAACTTCTGCCTAAGATCAATGATGAAAAAATGATTTGAACAAGTCAAGCCTAAGATTCTTGGGAAAGATTATTCTTTCTTTGAACATTGTGGCCTGGCGCTACAGAATCACAAAAACTGTAGCAGATAACAGAAACCACATCACTTGAAGACTAACAACAGCAGCAATAATAAAAATAGAAGAGGGATTAACGACATAATCAAGATGTTGGCATTCCACATCACTCCAAATATAAGGTTAGGAAAGAAACCCTATTCAATACTCGAAGAAGCTATAACAGGCACTGGGCTTGAGAATCCTGTGTTTGTTTAAGAGAAAGATTTTATAAATTTTAAGCGAAAGCAGTACTGGCTGCTCGGTCAATGAATTCCATATGTTTCCTTATAAGGAATATTACCATTACCATTATCATTCCAACCATAAAAGAGTACGGAACTTTAATCTAGTCATCCACTTAAAAATTACGCATGCCTATCGAAGGTTTTCTGTCATATGTGTTATAGCTTTTTTTTACATTCTCCTTTTTTTTTTCTTTAAAAAAAAAAATTAATACCGCCATTGTTATCATCTACATAATTAATTCACTCACTTGTTTTCTCATTCGTCTTTCTCAGATCTCCATCGTCGTCACCTTCTAATTTTCAGTAAATCTCCTTGCTTGGTCTTGTGTCCCTTTATCAAACAAGTAAGAAAAGCGTTTTACAGACTTCATCAAAGAATTCTATGGTTCGTGAATGGAGCATCGTTTGATATCAACATTAGCTTTTCGTGAAAAGCTAGAGAGACTACAGGTTGTTCTGTACGGTCTGAAAGCATGAATGGGATGCTGATTGGCTCTTGGTCAGCTTCCGGTGTGTCACGTGCCTTTTTTTTTATTTGCATAGTATGTTTTTCTTCACAGCGAGTCATTTTCGTATATCAAAGACTTTAAATTCATACACGGAGGTAAATGCATTGACTCAATAAAAAAGAAAAAAAAAAAAGGAAAAACAAAAAGAAACACATACCGATATCAAAACACACACACACACATACAACACACACATATACAACACACATTCATATACAACACACACACACACAGAAGCACACAAATCTAAAGATACCTACCAAAATACACACACACACACACACGTAATTACAAGCATACATACATATTATTCCGAAGACACACATATAAAACATTACATATGACTACACACACAGATAAACGTATGTATACAAACATACACTTACATAATTACAAGCACACAGACACATTATTCCAAAGACACACATACAAACAACTACAAATAAAAACTCACATATGCAAACACACACACACACACATATACATTTTTGAAAACACGTAATTATAAACACAACCAGGTAAATACACCCCCATACATAAACGTCCATGAACGCGCACAAAAAAGACACACACACATACATATAGACGCAGACATATACAAAAACAGACACAAAGACACACACTTCCAAACATATAGTTATACAAAATCACACGCATAAAATCACGTTATACACAAGCAAACTGAAAAGACACATTACGCACAAATACTGACATGCATTTGCATATTTTACTCATAGTATTAATAAAACTTAATTAAGTTTTATGCGTGTGTGCATGTGCACACCTCCGTGCGTTTCCGTTCGTGCGTGTGCGAACGACCACGTACTTACACTTATGAAAATTGTCACCTACGTAAATTATTAGTATGCTGTGTTTGGTGTGCAATTACGTATGAAAATTGCTTAACTTGAACTAACTTTGAAGAGGCAAACTTTTACACGCCATATATCCCGGGTTTCTATTTATTTAAATGATTTGCTGTAGTTTCCTACCTAGCAGCGCTTTCTTTTGGACAGCGTTAGAAGTGTAAGGAATAGTCCGCTTGTTATTGCTTCTGTAATCCCAACAACAACAACAACTCCTACAGAAGGACGTGAAGGAAGACGGGAAGAAAGGACTAAACATCAATTGCAAGAAGAGAGAATGGATGGTTTTTAGCAAAAGGAAGGGACCCACATGAAAATTACAAATTGGAAATACCAAAATGAAACTAGTGCAGCAGTTTAAGTATCTGGGAAGTGTTTTAACAGAGGATAGAAAGGGCCAAACTGAAATCCGGAAGAGCACTGGGAGAGAGAAAGAAGCTTTCCAGAAACTTAGCAAAGTATTAAGAAATTGGAAAATTTCGATAGAAACAAAGATTAGAGTACTGAACAGTTATGTAATATTAGTCCTTTTATACAGGTGAAGAAGGGGTTAGAAGCAACTGAAACGTAATTCTAAAAACGGTGATAAGAAATCCTCTTCCGTCGTACCTTCTATACTGTTCTGCCTCATCTGTTATCCTCTTCTGCCTCACCTGCTATCCTCTTCCGCCTCACCTTCTATCCTCTTCCGCCTCACCCGCTATCCTCTTCTGCCTCACCTGCTATCCTCTTCCGCCTCACCTGCTATCCTCTGCGCACTCACCCGCTATCCTCTTCTGCCTCACCTGCTATCTTCTTCCGCCTCACCCGCTATCCTCTTCTGCCGCACCCTGCTATCCTTTTCTGCCTGACCTGCTATCCTCTTCCATCTCACCTGCTATCCTCTTCCGTCGTACCTGCTATCCTCTTCTGCCTCACCTCCTATCCTCTTCTGCCTCACCTGCTATCCTCTTCTGCCTCACCTGCTATCCTTTTCCGCCGTACCTGCTATCATCTTCCGCCGTACCTGATATCCTTTTCTGCCTCACCTCCTATCCTCTTCTGCCTCACCTGCTATCCTCTTCCGCCTCACCTGCTATCCTCTTCCGCCGTACCTGCTATCCTCTTCTGCCTCATCTACTATCCTCTTCCGACTCACCTGCTATCCTCTTCTGCCGCAGCTGCTATCCTCTTCCGCCTCACCTGCTATCCTCTTCTGCCTTACCTGCTATCCTCTCCCGCCTCACGTGCTATCCTCCCCCGCCGCACCTTTGAGGGGCGCTGGACCGTTTGAGAACCAATGCCTTAGACCGAAGATATGAGAATTGTGCTCTCGAAACGCCATATGTCTTTTTTTGATGTTAAGTATAAGTGTACTTTTTTGTTTTCCATTTCTTTTAAATTTTAACTTGTTTAGTTCATGTTATTCTCAGAAAACGAATTATTGAACGTTTACATTTTTAACAAGATCATGGCACAACGTTTAAACTTGCCTTCAATGTAAGTGAGGCGCAAATACGTATTGCAAATGATTAAACAGAAGGAAATGGGACACTTTGTAATATTAGATTCAACATTTCGCTTCCAACAACGTTGTTATATCAAACGATTAACTTTGAAAATCACTCTTCCCAGAGTAAATTCTGCCATTCGATAGTCTCAGCTTGGTAAATATTTCTCCAAATTCCTATTTGTAGATAAGGTGCTTGATGAAATGACATCCGTGCATTGTAATAATATTGAGTGTTGTTGAAGAAGTGAGACCACTTGATCGACTTTATGAACGTTAAAAATTTCACATGCAATAACCCAGACGACATCGACTGCGTCAGTGATTGTATATCCATGGTAACTGCTCGCGGAGTTTCAGTATGTTAAAGAAATGTCTATTAATTCATATAGCGCTTATGAATATATAGAAACATTCTCTTCTAGAACCGCATTTCTGTTGCTTCAAGTCTTTTCTTCATCTGTGGGGAGACTGTCCAGAAATTCACTGCCATACAGGAGCGCTGATATTACGTGACAATTCAGTATTCTTTTTATTTGTTTCTAACGCCAGTGGACAATTGACTCATTTTAAAGACCTATTAACAGAGAGCTCTTTTCTACGAAAGGAAATCAAGCAGTAATTTAATTACATGTTAGCGCACATCTTCGCATTTTAAATACATGTGAGCTTATATGGGAAGTTCTTATACATGTCGCATATTCTGTAGCTCTTTGATTTTTAGATTAGTTGCAACATTCGTTGTCCGTCTATCGTTTTCACCAAGTTCAACATTTAATATTTTCTTGAAAGAATTCATCCAATTAAAGATTATGACCGGCTCTCTGGCTCGATTGTAAAGGGTAAATGTGAGATAATCCGTTTCTTTACAGAAAAAAATTCGGCATTCATTGAAGGAATAGTTTGCGTCACTACCAGTTGAAATTTATAAAATACTTTTCTTTTAGTATTTTTTTCAGGAAATTATACTTCTCAACTCCATATTATAGAGTTTTCTCATACTGATGGGACATTTCTTTTGTTGTTGGTCGCGTGGTTAAAATCTTTATGATATAATTATTTTCTCTTTTTGCTGCAGGTGATAACCAATTGTTAATGCTTCTGTTAAAAATCTTCAACTGATACCATTTCTACAGAATAAACGACTTTCTTTTTAACCAGTCCACCCCGTGTAAAGCTAGAATTGCCACTAGGCCACAGAGAGTTACAGGAAGTGAAATTGAAAGAGAATGAAAAGACCGTGTATGGGGAAGATTGAGAAAAGGACAAAAACGGAACAGGGTTCAAGAAGATGGGGACTGTGAGTGCATTTCAATTTTTGAAGCTTGTAGTTAACAGGGAAGCAAGAAATAGGAATGGGGTTCAACATGTAGGAATTGCGAGAAAGGAAACTGAAGTGGTGGTGTATCTAGCTAGTTCAACAGTAAAACGGTGAGCCCTAGTTGCTAGACTCGTAGCATGCTTAAGTTCATGTAGTCAGAGCACCAGGGAAAAAAGCTCGTCCGAGTAGTTGACCTGAAAATATTTGTTGAAAAGACAGCGGTAAGAAACGTCATGTCGGTGAGAAAGTGACTGAAGTCGAGATGCGTTGTCGATATCGATTAAATTACAGAGCGATCTTTGGATTTTGTCAAGAATCACAAGATGTACAGCAAGAATATCAGACCAAATATAGCAACAGTATTCAATCCACGGTCCAATACTAGATTTATAAATGTACAGGGTGGATTCTCACGGGAAAATAAATTTTCTGCCATGACACAGTAAAGCGACTTTCCTTGCAGCAGACGCAGCTATTGATTCGATATATTATCTCCACATCATGGCAGTCAAAAACCTGAGGCTAAGAAGGCATAGTGCATTGCTCTTCTGGTGTTTAGCATCAGCCATGCTGATGGTAGGTAGAAAAGTTTCTCTCTGGTTATTAAATTATAATAGTCTTGTTTTGGGCGGTTAAACTTTACAAGCCATTTCTTACCCCAGTAAACCATTGATTGGATACCATTTTCAAGAGCAGCTGCCAAGTTTATTTTGTCAGATTTGTCGGATCATCTACTAAAGCAGGAGTAAATGGTTGTGTTATCTGCATAAATACATAGTTCGGATTTAGCTGAATGGTGGCATTAGATTCTAGAAACACGAGAATAATGCATTAATGAGCGAATATATACGCAATAAATTTAAATGAATAAAAGAAATTGAAAAAGAAAAACGTACTGTATATTTTTGCAGCAACCTTGAAAATGTTCTTGTATAAAACTAGGCCAGCATTCGGAAATGTATTTCAGAACCTCTACTTCTTTGTCACGATTATTGAACAACGTTTAAAGTTGCCATTAATGTAGGTCATGTGCAAATACGCTTTGCAATTGATTAAAAAACAAAAAGAAAGAAATAAGACACTTCTCTTTGTAATATTCAAAGCTTCGCTTCCAAGAACGTTGTTATATCAAACGATTAACTTTGAAAATCACTCTTCCCAGAGTAAATTCTGCCATTCGATTTTCTCAGCTGGGTAAATATTTCTCCAAATTCCTATTTGTAGATAAGATGCTTGATGAAATGACATTGCTGCACTGTAATAACATTGAGTGTTGTTGAAGAAGTGAAACAACTTGATCGACTTTATGAACGTTAAAAATTCGCATGCAATAACCCAGACGACGTCGACTGCATCAGGGATTATATATCCATAGTAACTGCTCACGGCTCAAGTGATTCAGTCGTTTACTTAATTTATGTGTTAAAGAAACTTTTATTAATCCATATGATGCTTATGAATATGCATCAACCATTGTCTTCATCTAATGTGCTTTTGAGGGAGCTTCCAAAAGCTCGTCGTCTGACACCTAGGTATGTACACTATTTACATTATTAGGACTATTGTCCTCATCTTTGTTGTCATATTTATAACAACGTTTCGGTCGTTGTACGCTCCGGCCTTCTTCAGGTGGTTAGAATGTCGAACTGATTCCTTTATTTCGCTCGCTGGGTAGACTGTTCTCGTTCCACGTGCCATGTCTAATGGATGTCAGTTATCAGTTATCTCCTGTTAATTCACCTCTCCAAGTTCTCCACCGCCATAACCAGGTATTAAACTCACACTCTCTAAAGGAATAAACTGGGATAGGCGGGTACAAGAGGAGGACAACAACACACTGAAAACTGTCTACTTGCCTCAAGTGAAGGGGTTTCGAAGAAAATACAAAGGATCTGCAGTCCATATAACATCAGGACAACCTTCAAAAGCTGGACGACACTTCGCAGATGCCTGTCCCAAGTAAGACCCCCCCATAGAGGAGAGAATGACTAAAGACTGTGTCTACGCTATCCCGTGTAGCCTCGGAAAGAAATATAAAGGGGAGACAGGTATCTCCCTTAAGGTAAGGCTTCAAGAACACCAAAAAGCCTTAACACGATATTCCTTTGGTGAATATTCGGCATTCATTCGCCCAGTCGTTGGTTTCCTGTCCGCATCCGTGCATCGGGATCATCATCCTCTCTCCTTATCCTATAGTGGCGATGAGGAAGATAGCTGTAAAGAACCAGCCTACTCCTGAAGGGTTGTGAACAGGAGTCACAGAGGAATGTAGGTGGTGGACGTGTCTTACCGAGCCGGGCTCTCCTGAAAACAGGACGCAGGTCCTCTACATGTTATCGGTTGGACTCGAAAACGTCGCCCATCCCCTCTCGGATGGTTCTAAGCAAGTATGACCGATTTGCAGCAACGGTTTCCGAAGTCTCAAGGTTGATGTTAGACTATTTCAGGGGTAACTTCAACTGAACCTTGAAGCGTCGTTTTGGGCCCCCGCCTAGCCCCTTGCCGCTAGCGAGTTCTCCAAACAGGATGAGGCGAGTGGGACGCATTCGGGTTACGTGACGCTCCCAGCAGAGGTATTGTTGGAGGATTGTACCCTAGATGCTGGGGCGAGATGCCCGAGAGAGTTTTCCCAGTAATATCTTAGTACCCTGTTGCTTGGAGTAATTTGGAACATCAACATCTTCATTATGTTATTTTTTTAAATTTTTTATTTACATGATCTATCCAGTTTAGTTGTTGCTGTCGTTGAAAGTCTTCAAGTTATGCTGTTTCTTTTATTTGCTAGTGATTCCGTAGCGCCATTTTACGAGGTACGAAGAAGGGCGGTCCCCGTTAAAACTACATAATTCATTCGATCGAAGTCATTTTTAACCATTGATCTGAGAAAGCGATTGTATACAGCTGACAATTTCCATATTTCAGAACGAGTGTGGCGCTATGCGTGACATCCATATGAAATTCTAGATTTGACTCGGCCACGAAAGAACATCATTCGAGATTTTAGGCTAATGTGCTGATTTGGTAGCAATTTCCTGTATTAGTTGAAACTACACATAACACAGTCTATTCTCTTTATCTCATGTACTAAATTTGTTACTGCTGATCCATGCATAATTATTTAGAGTGTTTAATACTTATCAGACCCACATCCGGAATCTTTATGATAGATTCAGAGCATGTTCCAGTTTTGCTTTTATTCCAATTCCGGATCATAGGTTTTGCATTTGAAAGTTTTATTTTGAGACTGAATAGAATTTCTCATGAAGCCGTAAGATATTTCGCATAAATCCGTAAGGTAATGTCTCAAAAAACGATCAATATGGCTTCACTCTATCGCAGCCCCTCAAGGTCAGTTTACTATTTATCCCGTGAAATAAAAAAGTCGTCAGTTTTTAAAGTAGCTTACTCGACTAGCGACGCTTTACGATTGGCCAAGAGTGAAAGGGAGTTGCATGTTTTTGAA